TGAAGGCATTTTTACTAACACGCTACCTGCACTGAGCAGGGTTAGCTAAGGCCCAAGAGTTCAAAAAACAGACAAGCAAATCAAAACAAACATGGGTTTATTTTCACCTTGAAATGAACACAACCCCCCTTCCCAATGCACCCTCATCCCACACCAGCATCCTATAGCAAACAGAAAAGCATCCTTCAAAGAATTAGTGCAAGAAATTCTGAGTCATAACTAGGTATGCAAGTGGATGGCCAGGGGATCGTGGACGTGACAGGGAAAATGCCGAAAGCTTTGTTCAAGAACATGGTCAAGAGCATGTGTCACAATGTTTGTCACCGGATAACACCACTAAACTGGAACCAATTATGTGTTTGAAACAGGACACACAGCAATCACACTCAAGATTTTACTTTGCTGCTGATAATGACGTGCCCTCCATGTGTCTCATTTCCTTTTTATTAAGGCTTTCAGGGGGCCTTTACAACAACATGTTACACACACAGAGGAAGCAGCAGCAGTTCAGATGAAGTCATAGATTTGCAAAATGCCAAAGCCAAACAGAAGCAAGCCAGTGAAAACTCTAAGGAGAGGTCAGAAAATGGAGTCAAGTACGCATCTGGGGGTAAGAGACTAATGCTTAGTAAAATTACAACAAAGCTGTCCAGTCTCTAACCACAGAGAGCAGCAAGAAAGGAAAATGGATGTAATGCTCTGAGTAAGGCCAGAATGATTCACTGAGAAGAACGCTGTAGACCTGTTACATAACAGACAACTGAGGAATAAAGGGCTCTCCCTCTGCATGAAGCTGGATTTCCTTGTTCTATATCCCCAAGGCTGGAGGTTTATTAGCCACTTCTGACTAACCAGCTGTACCAACAGGCCCTTCACAGGTGCCAGCCTTTGCAGAACTATTTTTGACAACTTGATGAACCACTGCCATGAGCCTATTTCTAAAGATCCCCAGGAATCCTTTCCTTTGCAACAGGGCTACCCAGTTCTCTTTGTGAAGTGTTCTGACTCTGACTCACCTTCAGAGCTTTCTCTTCAAAGCACTTTTCAGACATTAAAGTAATTCTACCACCACCCCTGTAATGCAGAAAAACATCATCCCCATTTCACAGAAGGGGGGACTGAGACAAAGAGGTGAAGTTAGCAGACTGTGACAGGAAAGGCATGTAGATTCTTTTCTGTAACTTTTCTAGGCCATCTTGTCAGTGCAGTTTTAATGGCGGTCAGCATGGTAGCCATATGACCAATGTCTCCTGGGAGAGAGAGCAACAGGGGAATCTTCCACAATTTAAATTCTGTTGCATTCCTTGTGGTAGTCAAAGGAACTAACAGAAACCTGCAGTAATTTTGATCGCCCAAGAAGTCTGAAGTCTCAAAAGATGGTGGCAAATTAATTGCTAGAGGTTACTTCGCATCAGTTATTCCAACCCAAGCAGGACGGTCTATATCTCACCCGGCCTTCATCTCAGCTGGTGCTAGGACGGTGTGAAATAGGGAAGTTTGGAGGATAAAAATAAAACCAAGGCACTTTTTTGGTCCAGACCATGCCCCTTTTTTAGTGATCCACTTACCCTAGCACGTGTGTGCTGTACCAATCCCTAGTTGGAGCAGAGAAGGATCTAAAGGAGCAGTATGTATGTGGCTGCAGCAAAGTTAAGCAGCAACAGAAATGAGGGCTTATCTCATATCCACTCTGTGGAGCTTAGAGGAGGCACTCAATCTCTGTGCAACTCACATTCACAATGCAAAGGTAATCAGCAATGCACTAATTATATGAGAAAGTCATTAGTCCTGGGAACTGAGGGTTTAATGGATTAAGTTATCAGTAATTTGCAATAATTACTTTTTCAAAGTAATTTTAATAATGTGCAATGAACACAACCTGACACCCCCACACTACAGACACGCAATGCTGACTCCCCCACACACTGACAGTGACACACTTACACCACACACACACCAAAACATCCACACCTTAAAGGAAACATACAAACCCTGGCACAGAGTGAGACACACACCCACTCACAACTAACACCCCTGCTCCATGCTCGCTCTCTTTCACGCACACACACCACGCTACACACTCAACTTTGTGAAATCCAGTACCCACTCCAAATGACACACCCCAACTCCCCACTGACCGATACATACCAAACTGTAGTTTATTTAAAGTGTTACATGAAAACATTCTCTTAAATAACGTCAGTCAGTCTAGGATCATGTTTATCACCACAGGAGAAACAGAGAGCCCCTCCCAAACGGGACTCCTATCCAATTGTGGTTCTGCACTGGGGCACATCAGGATGCTGCTCCACTCAACAAAATAAAGAAAATAAAAACCAGAGTGAAATGCAAGGACCTTCATTCAAAGTGATGAGCCATTTACAGCTGCGAATGTAAGGGAATAGCTCTTCCAGAGGAAGGACCCCACAGGTAAGGGAGGGCAGCTGCTCTCCTGCCCGACTGCACTGAGTACATTCCTAGAGCGGGTTCCAAATCATCAGCAGCACAATGACATAGTTGGACAGCCTGGAAACCACAGCAGGGCACCGACTGTTCAGAACAATAAACGCATCTGGCAACTTACATTTGGAACATTTTTTCTAAAAGCAAATGTCCAATGAGAAGAGACAGCTTGGTTAAAGCTTGTGCCTCGTCAGGACCGTTTCACAGATTACAGGGAGTAGGACGGTAACTACAAGTGAACAGGCCACTTCTCTGGAGCTGTGGGAGAAGCAAAGGTGGGGGGACGTTTGAGATTTACAGTGAAAAACACCTTCCCTCACAAAGACAGAGGTCAGCGTAACAGAGTGAGCTCTGCTATACATGGCCCTGTTTTGGTCAATCAGACCCTTCCAAGAATTCCCAGGGCATCTCCCAAACGCCACCAGCTCAACTGAAAATAGCAACCAAAAGGAAAATGAGAAAACATTGGGTTAACAGGTGTGAACTGAGTAAGGCTAAGGGAGCTGGTGTGATGACACATGGAGACAAACACAGACACTTGCAGTTGTTCTCTTGTGTGCAATGAACTCGGATCTGTCTGTGTGACCCTTCCAACTCTGCTTCAGGAGCACACGCATTGCTGCATCTTCTCCATTACACAGCTTTAGGGAAAGGGCCATGACTGTGGCTGTACTTTCTACGGTTAATTAATGGGGTTGTCTACACTAATTGAAGAAACCACTGCAGGGACATTGGCAGGTTCGTTGTCTGGCATGTCCTTACAATGATGTCTGCATCCACACAGTCACTATGCTTATGGCTGAACTGTTTTGGTGTGTCCACCTGTGGTACATTCTGTGACACCTTAGGCATATGTCCCCTGGCTAGCATTCTTCTGGGAGCAGGGGCTTTTGGGTAATTTCCAAACGCAAGATACAAATGCATTGTAGGATAGAGTTAAGAAGCTGGCTGAACCAGTGCAGCTGCAATGCTTGTGACTTCCCAGCCACACTTTGGAGACAGCATTGTAGACTACATTGATTCAGACAGACCTGAACTAATGCAGGAGTTGCAACCAACCCGTACAACCAGTGCTTGAAAAACGCCTGGGACAGCTGTTGAGTGGGGGCACAAGTTGTACGGATGTTGCGAGATTAAATGTGTCCCAGCCTACGATTTGTTGCAACACCTCTTTACCTACTGTAGGCAGGGCCACAAGGTGACAATCCCAGAGCAAATTTTAAAGTGGTTTTCCTTACAATGTTCTTTGAGTTCTTTCATTGGGAAGAATCCTCCCCTTCACCAGCAGGCATAGGGGAACAAAGGGTACTGGCTCCAGTCTGCCATGCTCCCATGGGCATGCCCTGAAGCCCCTTGAGTATTATAATCTGTGGAGAAGGGAGAATAGCTCATTGCCCTGTACTGGCTGTGGGAAGGTACCATCCATTGGCCTAGGCCTTGCTCGGTGCCATATGGATTGTACATTGGACCTCGGGTCCCTGGTTTCCCAGCAGAGTCTACAGCCATGTTGACCACCCCAGTATAGTCCTGTGGAGGAGGTAGTGGAGGGTGGAGTGTAGGCAGGTTGGTGAAACCTTCTGACAGCTGTTTGGAATCTTGTTCGGGCACCGTGGCTATATCCACTCGGTGGGATCTGGCCCGGAATTCATTTAAAGCGAGGATGTCACGAGTGGGCGCCTGCTGTGTATCCCCATTGTCGTGGAACCTGAGTCCAGAAGGTAGAGAGAAGAGGAAGGAGTCAAACCTACCACAGCATAACATTCTTGAATTAACCAACATTGTTTGTGGTTCAAAGCTTGATCCAGGGAAGTGGGGGAAGCCAACAACACGTGGCAGTTTTAAACATCAGCTAGCCTTTTGAAACTAGTGCACTTCTTAAACTTATTTGTCTCTGTATCTGCCCTCCTGCTTATCTACCTCCCTCCATCCCTGTGCCCTCTTCCTGTCACTCCTGCCCCTACCTCTCTCTAACAGGATGCACTGGGTCTCTCTCATGGATAAATATCCCATAAGGAGTCAGGCTGCAAAAGGGACATGCCAGTCCTTTCCAGTAAGTATGGGGAGGACCCGGACCCTGCTCACTACACATAAACAGCTGGGAGTTGAGACTCACCTATATGTCTGGTAGGAGGAAGGTGTTGGCACTTGCTGCTCTCTGGCAGTTGCCTCTCTTTGGTCTGCTGGTGCTGGTGACGCTGCAGGGATCGAGTGGCTGCCGTTCTGCTCGGAGACCCAGAAGGGGTACCCGCTGCTGACAGGAATGGAATTACTCTCTTCCTTCACCTCCACGTTCTCATCCTTCACAAAATCTGACTCAAACGGGAAATAAAGAGAAAAAAGGAGAGGGGGGGAGGCGGGAAGAGAGAAAGCAGAGCTCAGCAATGGTGGGTTTCAGTTAGATGCAGGCGGAGGTCCCCCACAGACAGAACAGGAGGTTGGAAGGTTAAGGCGTTTATGTAAATAGTCTAAAATGTCTAATAATTAGCAGGAATCTTCTTACATTCCATTAATTAGAAACAAAGGGCGAGTGTTTTTCTAATCTCTCTCTCGTTCTCAGTGAGAGATTCTGGAGACCGTGACCGACAGACTAGGGATTCAGCTGGAAATCTATAAGGGGTCAGAGTCTCCCAAACTGTTGCTGGTCACATGGTGTTTGGGCTGGCTCCTCCTCCTCTCTAAACTGCACTAAAAGACAGCTAAAAAGACACTACATATTTCCCTAATATCCCTCTTCCAACAGCTGTAGCTGCCATAGCAGTGTTATTAGATCATCAGTGGGAGGGGACGTGGCTTGTGCAATCATAAGTGGGAGGGGAGGGGAGAGGTGGGGTTTACCAGACAATCTCTACAATATGGTCCACACTATGAAAATTTCGAGCAGGCCTGTTTTAAGTCATTGCGTCTGGCATAGGAAGACCCTTGCTCCAGATGGCCTCCTGAGGCTGGCTGCAGCACAATATGCCCAACAGCCTCAGTTTCTCCTTCTGTTTGCCCATGAAAAGAACACAGACCCTCAGAGTCCAGTTCAAAGCCTGCTTCTGTGCATAATTTATTCCTGTACACCAGTGCATGAGTTCCCCCCAAACCTTGCAGTAAGACCATTCTCACCAAACCCGCAGTAAAGATATAAAGGTGGAACCATTTTCCCATTCCCCTCTTCAGGAAACGCAGCTCCAGGTCCCTCACCCAAGAGTCAACAGCAGCACTGTGTTCCCAGTTCCTTTTGCCCCTGACACAGGGCACCGCTCTCCAGGCCATCCACCTGAGAGCAACCAGACGCCTGAATCTATCACAGCCCCCAAGTCAGGTCTCCTTCAAGTGAGCTCCTCACAGCTCCACTCGCCTTCTCCTGTTTAGAAAAGGTCTCTCCAGGACCAACCCCTTGTTATGGGCGTCCTCATGCCAAGGGCTCCCTGCAGCATTCCCACTCCCCAGGCCTCCTTGCCTGTGAGTCCTACCCTTGCTCAGGGCATGTCCCCTCATAGTCCCAGGTTTGGCCTCCCCTGACCAAGCTGGAGCTTCCCCTTTTGTCTAGGGGCCATTGTCCAAGCCTTCCGCTCGTCAGGGGTTCCCAGGAGTTCTGTTCCAGTTCTCCTCACAACTCAGCGCTCTCCCCCAGGGCTCCTCTAGCTCTGTTCCAAGCAACTCTTGCCAGTGCTTGTGTCTCTGTCTGAGCCTTCATAGGAGCTGACTAGCCCTCCTTCCCATGGGTGCTTGACCCCCCTCTGCCCCAGGCCTCACCCCCACTCCACCCCTTCCTCTTCCCACCTCTGCCCCGCCCCCATTCCAACCCCTTCCCCAAAGTCCCCGCCCCAACTCCGCCCGCTCCCTGCCCCTATTCTAATTCCTTCCACAAATCCCCGCCCCGAACCCGCCTCCTCCCCTGAGTGCACCCGAATTCCCGCTCCTCCCCCTTCCATCCCGGAACATGCTAACGCTGCCAAACAGCTGTTTGGCGGCAGCCGTTTGGGAAGTGCTGGGAGGTAGGCGGAGAAGCGGGGACACGGTGCACTCAGGGGAGGAAGTGGTGGGGTGGGGGGTGAGGGAAGCTCGGCTGCAGGTGGATGCAGAGCACGCAATTTTTCCCCATGGGTGCTCCAGCCCCGGAGCACCCACGGAGTTGGCGCCTCTGCCTCAGGCAGCTCTAACCCGCCTCTCCTGTATCTGACTGTGCTCTCCAGGTCTCGGATAGCTCTCACCCACCAATCTCCTCACTTCAGGACCCAGCTGCCCTCTTTTAAGGCCAACTGGGAGTCAGCTGACCAGTCACAGGTGCACTGGCCTCTTTCCTCTTGCAAGGCCAGTGTCACCCTGTGACAGTGTCCATCTCCCTGCCAATGCCAGGTTGTTCCCTACAGGACATTTTCTAGCCCATTGTCTAGTCTAGTTGTAAAGGTTTCCAGCAATGGGGCTTTCTCCACATCCCATGGGAAACTCTTCTGCAACTGACTAGAGTGGAAGAAGGTAGTTATTGTGTATTACAAACGTATTCTTACATATTTCTCTCTGAAAAGCAACTTGTAAACAGCAGCATACAAATCCTAACAGGGACTCCCCCTGCTGTATGCTAGATGCTCCAATTCTTTCCCACAGGAGTATAAAGATTCCTCCTTCGAATGGGGGTCTGGTCTTCCTGCTATACATCGCCTGCCCCATTTTGTGGCAGTTAATGAAGGGCCAGATCAACCCAACAGACTACAATTTTATGTGCCCGTCCTGAGTCTTAACCCTGAAGTGGCATGTCAGAAATTGCTCAGATCAAAAAGCCAATTTAGTTGGTTCTGCAGCCCATCTTTTGTCCTTCCCAGTGCCAGGGACAGCTTTTCTCTCCCTCCCTGCCATCAGTCAGCATGCTGCCCTCCTCCTTACACCCACTGGCAATCCCGCAACCTCTACTGTCCAGTCCCCTTTGCTGCTCCTGCCTCCACCACCCATCCACCTGCCTCATTCCTCACCTACCTCTCCCATGCTGCTCCACCGGTTCTCCCTTGATGCCCAGGACCCCACATCCCAGCTGTCACTATGTACTTGACCCTTATTTCAGGCTATACCCCCAACTACCACATATTCCTGACCCTTTGGTCATGAATTAAGGTGTGAGAATTCAGGTGTAACATTCCTTTTCTTTTCTACTCTAAAAGATCTGCAGTGTCCTCTAAAATCCCTGCCCTTGCGGCCCAGGATTCACAGGCCTGCTGACAAACATGGCCCTGTGCAGAAAGAAGCTTTAGCAGAGCTGTGTTAATGCCTTTTTTCCTCCCCCGTGGCATGATCCCTGCTGGTGAGCGCCTCCCCAGGTTTGTTGTTGCCAATATTACCAGATTCCTCAGCACCAGATTCTGTTTCTTCTGGCAGCTTCCTCTTCTGGCCTTTGGCTGGACTAAGTTTCTGGCCTTTGACTCGCCCTTCCCTGCAAAGAGAACAATGTCTGGAGGCAGTTCATACGCAACCTTCCTACCCAGGAGCCTGTGCTGGGGACTCTGGAGCAGACACAAATCCTATTGTGTTGGGGGAAGCAGAAAGGCCAAGTACCCGTCAACATCTGCAAAAAGAGAGGGTAGGGGTTGATGTCTCCCAGGTTTTTGAAGCTGCACATTGGCTGGCAGAGCACCAACACAACAGTAGGGTTGACTTCTTGGGAATGTACGTGTCCAATGAGATGCAATTAGTTATGCTGGTTGCCACTAGAGAATAGGGATCAGGGAGAAAGACTGAATTACCCCATCAGGATTCAGGCACTAGAACTAATCAGTGAATGGATTATATAAGTTTTACAAAATGCTCCGTGACATTGGAAAACCTCAGCGTTGGAAGTTTGAACAATGATTTTGTGAAAACGGTCCAACATCATTCATACATACATACCATAAAATGTTGTGGGGCTTTTGTTTGAAAGTGGGACCATTTCTGAGGGAACATGGACCCAATTTAACTCAAAAATGGTCCTATTAGGTGAAAAACAATCTTGAAATTTTCAAAATATTCTTTGGATGAAAATCAGTTTTGACCCTTTCTCCAAAACTGAAGGCATTTTCCAGGCATGAAAAAAAATTGCAAATATTTTCATGAAAAGTTTTGATTCTAAACATACATAGTTTCACCCCTCTCTTCTATCTGCTTTCATTTGCTCTTAAGTTTTCCTGTTATCTCGTGCACTGCCCTCAGACCTGACAGAAGTCCTCCCTGGGGGTGGCATCCAACTTCCTCTTCACAGTAACTGGGGGGAAGGAGGAGGAGGATGGAAGGAACCTGGATCTTAGAATTAAGCTGACACTAAACAGGGACAGCGATCTACAGCAGATTCTCTATTTCAAGTGTTCTCAAACTGGGGGTTGTGATCCCTCAGGGGGTCGTGAGATTATTACATGGGGGGTCACAAGCTGTCAGCCTCCACCCCAAACCCTGCTTCACCGCCACCATTTATAATAGTGTTAAATATTTTAAAAATGTGTTTTTAATTTATAAGGTGTGTGTGGGGGGGTGTCTCACTTAGAGGCTTGCTTTTGTGAAACAGGTCACCAGTACAAAAGTTTGAGAGACACTGCTCTATTCGGTCAGGAGAGTGTCTACCTTCGAGTGTTCTTCCCATGTTCCCGGAATCCTTTAGCAAATGGGTTGTTGTCAATCTTGAGTTTTGTGATCTACAAGTAGAGACATGAGATCCAGTATTAGAATGAGCAGCTGCCCATGCTGCCATGTTTGGCTTATACCACTCTGAAGCAAGATCCCTGGCACTAACAACTGCTCTATGGATAAATGTCTATCCTGTGGTCTCCATCTGAGCGCCTCACAGCTTTACTGCATTTATCCTCACAACAGCCCGCTTAACAGAAGGGGAACTCAGGTGCGGAGAGAATAAGTGACTTGGGCAAGTTCACACAGGAAGTCTGTGGCAGAGCAGGCAACTGAATCTGGGTCTCCCAGGTGCCAGATGAGTGCCCTAACCACTGGTTTATCTTTTCTCTCTACATTAATTTACAATTTAATTTCAATTTCAAATTCAATTTCAGCAGCAATAAATGCCTCACTTTAAGTCGTCAGATACAATAAATTCAGAGTCTGCAAGGCATTGAAACATCAGCGCTACAGATCCACGCAATACTGTACACAAATTGCTAGTGAAATGTCCCTCCATCTCCAGCTGATAGAGACTTCTCTACGGGAGGTGCACGGGTGATAAGGGGTGACAGGGATACTTGTGCTGTCCCAGATGTGGGCATGGAGAAGGTTATAGGTGTCACACTCACAGGCAAGGGAAGAGGGAAGTACACTTGTATTCCCCACATGGGAAAGCGGTACTCCTGTTCCATTCAAAGGGAAGAGGGGAGGTGATTCATATATTGCCCATATAGGGGAGAATTCCACCTGCACTAGTGGGAGGGCCGTGTAGTGTTATCTGCAGAGGAAGAGGAGGGGAGAGGCCCTTTGTGGGCCACAAAAGGGCAGTGGAGGATCTTTTCCCATGGGAGCAGGTTCTGGTGTCAGTA